GCTACATAGAGAAACCCTGTGTTGGAAAAAAAATTACTTTTGATTTTTTTCTTTTGTTTTTAGTAATATCTTTTCATAGCTACAAACTACTCAAATAGACTTCCTGTGGCCCAGGAACTGCAAGCCTCTCAGAGAAGCCCTGCCCGAGTTCCTAGGAACCTTGAGTATGCTGATAATTGACCTGGAGTTTCCCTCTCAGGAGTTCTTAAAACATCCACAGCTTCCTGTCTCCTGAAATGTCCAGCCCCTCTGTGTCCTGTAACCAGTGTGGTCCTGCCTCTTTTGTGAATTGTACCCCTGGGAGCTATTCCCTGACTGTTGATCTCTCTGCCTATTTCACCCCTCCTTCTAGCTTATCGGGGACTGCTTCTTACTCACAGTCTTTTGTGTGTTTTGTTTGGGGTGTGTGGGTGCTTTGAGACAGAGTCTCACTATGTAACTCTAAGATACCTGAACATCGCTATAGAGATGAGACCCAGAGTCTTCTGCCTCCACCTCCCAAGTATAGATCCCTACTACAGAGGTCTGCAAACACGCATCTCCATGCTTGGCTCTTATTTTGGTTCTTCTTTCTTTTCTTTTCTTCCTCTTTTTTTAAGATTTATTTATTATTATATATATAATGTTCTGTCTGCATGTATACCTGCCCACCAGAAGAGGACATCAGATGGTTGTGATGGTTGTGAGCCACCATGTGGTTACTGGGAATTGAACTCAGGACCTCTAGAACAGCAGCCTGTGCTCTTAACCTCTGAGCCATCTCTCCAGCTCCAAGATTTATTTTCTTGTTGTACATAGTGGCACACACCTTTAATCCCTGCACTGGAGAGACAGAGACAGGCAAATCTCTGAGTTTCAGGCCAGCCTAGTCTACAGTGTGAGTTCCAGGACAGCCAGGACTGTTACACAGAGAAACCCTATCTTGAAAAACAAAACACTGATTTTATTTTAATTTATATTTATTATTTATTTATGTATCTATCTTGTGTGTGGGTGTTATGTCCACATATATGTCCTTGGATTGCATGCATGCCTGGTACCTGTGGAGACCTGAAGAGGGCATCAGTTCTCTCTTGGGACTGGAGTTAAAGATCACTATGTAGGTCCTGGGAATTAGACCTTAGAGTCATCTCTCTGGCCCCAATTTAATATTACTTTTTTGCTAGTGTTAGCAAATTTAATATTACTTTTTTTGCTAGTTTGTTAGTCTATGAAGTCTGTGCCATGTGTGTCTAGGTGTCAGACAGTTATGAGTTGCCCAATGTGGGTGATGGGCACCCAACGTAGGTCCTCTGAAGAGTAGTAATTGAGCCATCTCTCCAGACCCTTACACCAATTATTGTTGTTGTTGTTGTTCTTAACTAGTTTATGTTGATGGACATTTTGCCTGCGTGTCTCTGTATAACATGTGGGTTCCTGATGCCCATGGAGGTCAGAATAGGGCATTGAATCCTCTGGAACTGGGAGTTACAGATGGTAGCTGAAATATGGGTGCTGGAATCAAACCCAGGTTCTTCAGAAGAGCATCCAGTGCTCTTAACCTCTGAGCCATCTTCCCAGCCTCTTAGGCCAGTTCTTGATGGAAACTGCAGAGCGCATCAACTCTGGTGTAGTGCTAATGCCAGAGTGCCTGGGTTCAAATCCAGCCTTGTTACTTACTAGCCGAGAGATCTTAGCTATGTTACTATGTTACTGCTCCTCTCTGTGCCTTAATTCCTCAATAACACAGTAATATTGCTTCACAGAATGAGTTTGGGGCTCAAAATAGAACTTGCAAAAACAGTTTGGACACTGCCATTCAGCCATTAAGTACTCAAAAAATGCTACCCTTCCATCCACTCTAGCCCATACTGAGCAAAAATCACTAAGAATCAAAATGACTTTTATCACCCTCATGGCACCCCAGGGATTTTGGCTTGGTGTCATATACCAACTTCCATAGACACTCACTAAAGGAATTCCCTAAATGTCTTTAAATTCTGCCAGTGCTCCGAACCCCTGGCTGACTGGAAGACAGCTCCTTGCTGTCCCACAGGTAAGCCTTGCTCATTTCTGCTCTGTGCCTTTTCTCATGCAGTTCCTCCTCCTTGGAATTCTAGCTCTACCTTCTCCCTTCCCATCTTTTCCTTATCTGTTCAAACCTTGCCTCATCTAAGAAACCTTCCCTGACTATATCAGTTTCTTCTTACTAGTTTTCTTTTTTATCCTTCTCTCCTATTTTATATCCCAACTGACTGCAGCTTCCCACCCCCTCCACTCCTCCCAGTTGGACCACTTATATCTCTCCTCTCCCCCAGATCTACTCCTCCTCCATTTCCCTTCAGGGAGCAGGCCTCCCAGGGGCATCAACTAAAGTTGGCATAACAAGTTATGGTAAGCCTAGGCACAAACCCTTATTCTAAGGCAGGACAAGGCAACCCCCTAGGGGGAAAAGAGTCTCAAAAGCAGGCAAAAGAGTCAGAGACAGCTCCACTCCCACTGGTAGGAGTCAGTCCTACAAGAACACCAAGCTATACAACCATAACACATATGCAGAGGCCCTAGCTCAGACCCATGCAGGCTTTGTGATTGTTTCAGTCTTTTTGATCCCCTGTGAGTCCGGCTTAGTTGATTCTGTGGGTTGTGTTTTCCTGTTGTCCTCAACCCCTCTGGTTCCTAGAATCCTTCCCCCCACTTCTTCCTGCGGGGAGGGTTCCTTGAGCTCTGCATAATGTTTGGCTTTGGATCTCTGGTCTGTTCCCATCAGCTCCCAGAGGAAGCCTCTCTGACAACGACTGGGCTAGGCACTGATCTATTGAGTATAGAAGGTTATCATTAGGAATCAACTCATTGACTTTTTTTTGCCAGTGTGTTTGGTTCTAGCCTATGTCTCTGGGCTATCCAGCCTTGGTTTCTGGCCATCAAAGGGGGCTGCCTCTTGTGGCATAGGCCCATGAGTTAGACCAGTGGCCATTGGTTGGCCACTCCCACAAGTCTGCACTACCTTGTAGATTCCAGGGAGTTCCCACTGCACTAGGTTTCCACAAAGTCCCCCAAATCCCCCCAGTTCAAACTCATCTCTCCTCATATTTGCTCCCTCCACCTTCCCCCACTGACACCTGATCCCTCCTGTTCCCATCCCCCCACCCCCATCTACCCACGAAATCTCTTCTAGTTCCCTTTCCCAGGGAGAAACACGCATCCATCCTTGCACCCTTCTCCGGGTCTGTGGATTGTAGCCTGGTTATCTTTACAGGTTATACCCACTTAGGAGTGAGTACATACCATGTTGTCTTTCTGGATCTGGGTTACCTTACTCAGGATGATTAATTTTCTAGTTTATTCATTTACCTAAGACTTTCATGAGGTCATTGTTTTCTATAGCTGACTATTATTCCATTGCATAAACATACCACGTTTTCTTTATCCATTCATTGGTTGGGGGATGTCGAGGTTGTTTCCAGGTTCTGGCTATTACAAATGAAGCTACTCTGAACAAAGTTGAGAAAATGTCCTTGTGGTGGAATGGAGTGTCCTTTGGGTATATGCCTAAGAGTGGTTGGTATAGCTGGGTCTTGAGGTAGACTGATTCCCAATTTTCTGAGGAACCCCTATATTGATTTCCATAGTGGTTGTACAAGTTTATACTTCCACCAGCAATGGAGGAGTGTGCCCCTTGCTCCACATCCTTTCCAGCATGAGCTGTCACCTGCAATTTTGATCTTAGTCACTCTGAGAGGTGTGTTTCTCTGTGTAGCTCTGGCTGTCCTGGATGGAACTCACTTTGTAGACCAGGCCGCCTGCCTCTGCCGGCCTCTGCCTGCTTCTGTCTCCCAAATGCTGGGACTAAAGGTGTGTGCCACCACCACACCCAGCCCTATATCAGTTTCTTCTTCTCTTCCCCTTTGAATTCCCTCCCAGTCAGAATCGGAACCATGTTACCAGAAAACACAAAGCAATCATTTTGGTCTTGGTCACGTAGCCTCAAGAGGTTATTAAATTCCGTTAGCTTGTTTGAGGATGTGTTGGACATTTAACACAAAGCTAAGTACATGCACTGGGCCCCACCTCCAGCTCAATAAACACTTTAAGAATCAGCATGTTCTCTCTTCCCCTGCCCCCTTGACCCCAGCACGTAGCCTCATGCTGGCTTCCCCGTAGGTATCAGTAAAGACTCAGCTGCTGACACATCTGGCATAACTCAGATTTGGCTGAGGGAAGCTGGGGCCCTGGCTTGATTTCTGGCAGCGAGTTCAATCAGAAGGTAGGAAGTTGGTTCTGCTGACTTCAAGTGTTTCCTCAGTGGTTCAGTTTGCAGAATGAGCAGGGTCCTCAGGTGAGCCCTTCACTGTAGAGACCTTGAGACTAAATGGATCCTTCGGTTAATGGTTGACACTGTCTGTTTACCTAAATGATTGCCAAGAGTCCTGGCTTGCCGATGGCACACTTTGTGGAATAACTGCTTTGGTCCCAAGAGTAGAAGATAATTTCTAGGTTTTTATGGTTTTGGTATGTAACTGGAAATAGTGTAGTCTGTCTCCAGCTAGTAAGTACACGGACAGTAAGTAGATGCTACCCTGGTATTGCTATATCGGGAGGGAGCAAGGCCGTCCTCCATTTTGACCTCAGGCATTTTGTCCTCTCAATTATCCATAGTTTTAGAGGCTGGGATCTAGAAGAGATGGCATCCAGCACCAGAGTCCTCTCTGCTGCTTGCCCACACAGTGGGCCCCCTAAAGGCCGAGAGTCGGGCAGAGCTGAGGGGTGTAACAGAGTCAAGTCCAGTTCAGTACCTCAGATAGGGCCCAACATGACATTCTGGTGACAGTGATGCTTCTCTTCCTCTGGAACAGGGCAAGAACTCTAGGTCCAAATCCATTGGGAGCTCAGGGATCAATCTTGTTTAATGATTGTGTGTGGGACAGGGGTGGGGCTGGTTAATGTTTCTCTGCTTCCTCTTGGGCTATGGGCCACGTAAAGCTCCGGTCCTGGACTTATTGTCCCTCCCCTGGGCTGGGCTTTGACAGTACCTAGTGGCATTGAACAGACACGCCTGCATACATTCCCTGGGAAAAGGTAGCTGCAACCAGGTGTGGCAGTGCCTGGGAGGTGAGGAGTGTGGGGAGGGAGGGGGGCTACGGTGGACTGATATGGTGCTGGGGTCGAAATGCTGGCTGGAGAGAAGCCTGGGTCTTATCTTCTGACTTCAGCATTCAGCCACTTGGGGCCTTTCTGTGCTTCCTTCTGAGCTGGGATGGCGTCCTCCTGCCAGGTGCCCAGGCTGCTTAGATTCTCTCTTCAGCCTCCAACTCCTACCTTCTTTCCAGGCTCTGTGTTCTTCTCTCTCCTTTTTCTAAGCCAAAGATTCTTCTCTTGCCCATAGGGTCAGAGTCCCAGGAAGACAGACTTGAAGAACTTGAAACATAAGGTGGCTAAGTTTGCTTTTCCAAGACATTCTCTGGCATGCAGGGTCAGGGTTCTGTGGGACTGTCAGACAATGCCACATGCCGCTTTCTTTTCTGGGCCACAAGGTAAAACAGGCACGAATCTGACATGGGCCTGCTAACAGGGCCAAGGATGTGGGAGCATGCCTTTCCATTTGCTTGTGTGGGGGGCAGGCAAGCTCAAGCTGGACTTGGTAACTGATGGTTTGAGGATTTACTAGAAGGGTGGCTCCCAGCTGTTAAAAAGTCATTCCAGCTGTCAGGAATGGCATGGCAGAATCCACGGACTTAGAGAATGAGATGGGGGAAAGAGAACATACACAAAAGGTTTTGTTTTGTTTTGTTTTGTTTTGTTTTGTTTTTGAGACAGGATCTCCCTATGTAGCCTTAGCTGGCCTTAAAATTGCTATATGAACCAGTCTGGGCTCAACTCAGATCCTCCTGCCTCTATCTCCTGAGTGAGTACTAGGATTAAAAGCATGCACCAACCAGCCCAGCCACAAAAGAAGTTTTAATAGGCAGAAACCATCGGTAAGGGACCCAGTCTGGGAAGAGGGGCCAATATGCTTTGCAATCTGAGTTTTACCACTTGTTTACCGGCTGTGTAATGAGTTAGAGTGTTTGCCAGGCATAGCGGCTTATGTCTATAATCCCGGTTCTCAGAAGACTCGAGGCATGAGGATTGTGGGTTCGAGACTAAATCGGTTACATGTGTGAATTGGGGTTGTTCGGAGGATGAGAGTTCATGAGTATGCAATTTCTGATATTCGGGGAGCATTCTATAAATGGTGGCCGTCACAATGAGCCCAAACAACACTAGCAAGTGAAGTGGATGATGGAGGAGCACATAGCAATAAGCCAAGCATTGAAAAGAAAAGGAATGTCAGCAGAAGCCTTCTGAAGAGGCTACGGGAGAGGGGGGGAGTGAACGCACTAGACTGGTCATGGTGAGCAAGCCTGACCATGACAGATGGATGACGGGGTGGAGATTAAGTCAGTACCCGAGATTCTAGAGAACCACAGGGTGGAGGCGTGAAGATAACAGGGAAAGAGACAGAGACAGGTGAGGCTGGCTTTAATCACACCACCCTGAGGAAAGCGCCCCCAAATTCAAAAGGAAGTCCCTTCCTAACTATGGGTGGCCTGTGAGACAGGAAAGAACATAGAGTTTGGGTTAATTTTTTTTTCTTTTTCTTGTTTGCTTTTGAAATAGTATCTTATGTAGCCTAGGCTGGCCTCAGACTTACTAAGTAGCTGAGGATAACCTTGAACTCCTGATCCTTCTGCTCCCACCTCCACAGAACTGGGAACAAATACACAAGTACTACCACTTCTGGGGATTGAACTCAGGGCTCCTGCCAACTAGGTAAGTACTCTACCAGCTGAACCACATCCTCAACCCTGGTGTCTGGGCCTGAGTATAGTAACCTCATCCAGTCCCACCAGCGTCGCGTTGTCCAAACCCACAAAACACAAGGAGTCACATGCAGGTGGAAAGAGTGACAGGGTAGGAAGGGAGACTGAGGTGATAAATGCATCACGTGTGCACACACATGCCAACACGCACAGGAGTACGGCTTTGGGGCTGTGTGCCCTGTCTCAGAGCAAACATTCCTTCAGAAGAGGGGCCCTCAGAAGCAGCGCTCTGCGCAAAAGCTTTGAGGTCAGAGGAAAATCAATTTGCAATCTGATTCCATTAGTTGGCAGTAGGGCAATTGCCAGTGAAGCAAGTTACTGAACCCCCCCCCCCCTCTCTCTCTCTCTCTCTGCCTCAACTTTCTGGTCTGAAAAATGGGGATGACATTACAGAACTTTTTGTGAGCTCCTGCTTTTGTTCTGTGCTCAAGTGCTGGGCAAACTGGAATTCAAAGCCTGACAAGGCCTCAGAAACCCTATCTAATTAAACACAGAGCAAATCATGCCTGCTGCAACTCAAACCATATCAATAGCTGGACTTTAACCTAAAGTCAGGAAAACAGTTTGGATTTCAAAATCAGGTCACTCCTCTGGATGTTTTTAAAATGCAGCCTTGAGGTACTGGTGTTGACATAGACAAAGCAAAAATTGAAACCCCAGTGCCCACATAAGGGTTCTCAGAGGTCCCAAAGGGAGCTACTGGCTGTGTCCCAGAAAACTCCAAGTAAGAGGCAAAGAATTTCTTAGAAGGACCTAGAAATTTGAGGTTGACCAGGAGGTTTATGGGGCACCTCTGAGGGGAAATAGAGAGAAAACACCTATGTTTGCTTTGGGGTTCATGGGAACAGCCTGAGAAAAGAAAAATGAGCCAAATCAGGAGGCCAGAGGAACCCTGGGAAGGAAGCTTTGAATCTTCTCGGCCCTGAACCAACATGGAAAGAAAAGTGGTGACTCTGTAAGATGCCGTAGCATTTACAGAGAGAGAAAAAAAAAGGTAGAACTTAACAATTTAAAAAAAAAAAGCTATGGACAAAATGTGGACTCTCATGTCAGCCCTACCTCCCTCAAAGGCCATCTCTGTGACTGCACGGTCCTAGGGAATGACCCTTTCTTTTTTTTTTTTTTTTGGTTTTGTTTTGTTTTTCAAGACAGGGTTTCTCTGTAGCTTTGGAGCCTGTCCTGGAACTAGCTCTAGTAGACCAGGCTGGCCTCGAACTCACAAAGATCCGCCTGCCTCTGCCTCCCAAGTGCTGGGATTAAAGGCGTGCCCCACCACCGCCCGGCGGGGATGACCCTTTCTGCCTCAGTCTCCTCCTCCATGACAAGAGGCTGAAAATAACATCCCACCTCCCCAAGATCTTCCTTAATCTTTTTCTTTTATATTGTTAGCCTATTTGCATGTGCATTTATAATGTGAACGGATGTCAGTGTGGTTGCGTCAGTGTCCGGGCACACGTGGAAATCAGAGGGCAACTTTCAGGAAGTGATCCTTTCCTCAGGTCATCAGGCTTGCCCAACAAGTGCTCTGGCCTGCTGATTGTTCTGAGGCTCACTGGAGAAAGCACACGTTCAAGGGCTTGGCACATGATTAATACATACTTGGCAAATGCTTATTCCTGCAGGAGTTGGGGGTTTTTTAATTACATTTATGTGTGCACGTGTGTGCTCACTCTTGCGTGTAAGTCAGAGAACAGCTTACAGGAGTCAGTTCTGTCCTTTCACCACGTAGATTCTGGTATCAGACTCAGGTAATCGAGTTTGGCAGCAAGCACCCTTACTCACTGAACCATCTTGCTAGCCCAGGTTACTCCTCACTCCCAGGGCTGTGTGCACACAAAGCAAGTCCTCTACCACTGATCCAAGTACCTACGTTCAGTCTGCGAAGCCTAAAACATTTTATTGGCAAAAACATTTTCCTCCCTCCATCCCTCCTTTATTATTATTATTATTGTTGTTGTTATTATTATTATTATTATTATTATTATTATTATTATTTTAGAGGTGGGAGGATTGAGACAGGCTCTTTCTATATAGCCCTAGCTGTCCTGGAACTCACTGACTCACTGTAGATAAGACAGACCTCAAATTCATTAGAGACCTTTCTTTCTGCACTGCTTCCTGAGTGCTAGGAATAAAGGTGTAAACTACCACAACCCACTCTTTTTGGTTTTTGAGACAAGGGAAGTCTCACTTTGTAGTCCTTGCTAGAACTCACTATGTAGACTAGGTTGGCCTTAAACTCAAAGCAATTTGCCTGTCTTTACCTCCCTGAGTGCTGGGATTAAAGATCTGTGTCACCATGCCTGACAAGCCCTTTATAAAAAAACAAAAAAAAAACCTTAATGAAGAAGAAACATTATGTAGAGAAGTAACTCATGTCCCGTAGGCTGTTCCTTCTTCCTCTCCTCTTGCTTTATTTTTGTGACTGGACCTCCCTAAGTTGTATAGACTGGACTAGAACTCTTGCTTGTTTTCATTTTTTTTTTAATATTTGCGTGAGCTTCTCTGTGTGTGTTTGTGTGCTAAAACATGGCCACATGTAATCCAGGTTGGCCTTAAGATCACAGTGTAACCGAGGCTGGCCTTGACCTCTTGACCCTCTACTTTCCAAGTGCTGAGATTACAGGTGTGCATTGTCGTACCTTGCCTTAGTCTAAAGCTTCTGAGCTCGTGGGCCTCCTCCCTTAACTGTCACACTCCAGATAGCCAGAATACAGGTGTGTACCACCTGTGAGACTCCTCCCTTAACCAATCACACCCCAGATAGCCAGAATACTGGCGTGTGCCACCTGTGAGCCTCCTCCCTTAACCCTCACACCCCAGATAGCCCAACTACAGGTGTATACCACCTGCCCTGATCTCCTGTTTCTTTTCTCTCACTCCCCAACATTTCCAGTAACTATTTCACTGCCTCTTCCCTCTATAACCAAGAGAGGCACCCAGAAGTGATTACAAGGCTTCTTCCTGCACCAGCCACCCCTGTTGTGGAGGTGCCCTGGGTAAGGCCGAAAATGCACTGCGTTTGCTGTATTTCTGTAGGTCCAGGCCTGAGGTGCTCTCATCCAGCTCCCTGCCTCTAACACAATCTCCTTTCAACTTCAATGGCAGAAGTGGTGGGAGGTGGGGAGAGGCCTTCTTTGTCTGCCTAAGGGAGAGAGGAGAATTTCCTCCCTAGAATCATTGGCAGACTCATAAGCAGGAGGTTACAATATGCACTTGACACTGGGGCCAGGGCAGCAACTGAGCTGTCTGTTCTATGGCAGATACTCTAGGTGGTTACACATTACTGGAGAGAAAAAGGAGAAATGTGGGCTTAGCGGACCATTTGGCTGCCTAAGGCAGTATTGTTTCCTCTTCCAGAGACAGTTCTTAACCCCTTTATAACCACCTGAGAAACTGGAGCAGGTATCTTCATTGACACCCGTGGCAACCCTGGGCATGGGCGCCATTAACGGATGAGCAAGCAGGCCCATGGAAAGTCAGTAAATAGCCCAAGGTGAAGAGTCAGGATGCAAACAGAAGCTACATGACCCGTGCATAATTCTTTGTCTAACCTGCTACTTGCCTGATGGCTTTATCACTCGGCTTGTTCTCACCATGAGCCCACCTGCCTACCCCCTGGAGAAGGGTCCCTTTCCTGCAGTTTAAGGATAGTCAGAGTTTGCTGGACAGCTTCCTTATTTTTGTGTGTTTCAGGGTGACATCAAATTCGCCTTCTTTTTTCTTTAATGGTTAGCTTTTTCTTTGACTGGCACCATCTGCAAAAGCGCAAGGAGCCTGCTGCTGTGAGACTCTAGTCTGCTTCAGACTCCTTTGTACTTCATCTTTTTAGCCAGGTGACTTTGAGTGGATAACAGGATTGTTGAATGGGTCAAAAGGAAGAACGCTTGGGGAAGTGATTACTGCACTTCCTGGCTTGATAAACTCTATGCCCCACGTTTCCTCCCTTCTGGCACATTCATACCCGGAAGGGGACCCAAGACTAGGAAAACTCCTGCTGACTCTTGTTTCTGGTAGAAATATGGAAGAGGGCTTTAGTCCAGAGACTCCTGGCTCCCTGGGGTCCCATCTTCCATGCACCTGTCTGTGTTCTATCTCCCTCCCCCAGAGCCATTATTCTGGTAGGGCCATGGGGCGGGTGCGGCGATGGACCGGGCGGGCACAGAACAGGTGGGTGAAGGCTGGGTGTCCGGCGCTGGGACACAAGTGCTCTGTGTGTAGGGTGGGCGGAAGTCAGGGCGTTTGATCTGAATTCTAAAGGGTGTTGTTCAGCGCCCCACAAAGGTCCCATTGTACAGACACTGGGTATAAAGCAGCATATGACTCTCCAGCACCGGGAGGCGATGAATTGGGACGCAGGCGCGACCACAGGGACCACTCCCCCTACACAGACATGAGACCATAGGGGAGCTGTCTGGGTGGCCTCAAGGATAGGCGCTCCCCGAGGTAACCGGGCTTTCTGGGTTTGCCATAAGTTAGGAGCAAAGTAGCTAGCTGGGGGAGGGGAGCCAGAAGAGCTGGCTAAGAGCAGAACTAGACAGGCCTGGTGAAGCGAGGGACTCAAAAGGAAAGAATGCTGGATGTATGTGAAGAAAGGGGATGGGACTCAGAGAGGTCAAGTCAAGCGAATGAGAAGGAAAGCTTGGCGCCAAGAGGGATGGATGAGGAAAGCTATGACTCTCCTTGCTTTCCCGTCACCGGCTCTTGGAAGAGATGGGGGCAGGGGAGGCAGCATTACTTTGCCCAGCTTCCTGCCCTAACCTTCTGACAGTTTGCTTCCTGCCTCTTGTCTCACAGGTGTGAATGAGGCAGGATGAACTGGACGGGTTTGTACACCTTGATCAGTGGCGTGAATCGGCATTCTACCGCCATCGGCCGAGTATGGCTGTCGGTTATCTTCATCTTCCGAATCATGGTGCTGGTGGTGGCTGCGGAAAGTGTGTGGGGCGATGAGAAATCTTCTTTCATCTGCAACACCCTCCAACCTGGCTGCAATAGCGTCTGCTATGACCAGTTTTTCCCCATCTCCCACGTGCGCCTGTGGTCCCTGCAGCTTATCTTGGTTTCCACCCCAGCTCTCCTCGTGGCAATGCACGTGGCTCACCAACAGCACATGGAAAAGAAAATGCTACGACTCGAGGGGCTCGGGGACCCCCTCCACCTGGAAGAGGTGAAGAGGCACAAGGTCCACATCTCAGGGACACTGTGGTGGACCTATATCATCAGCGTGGTGTTCCGGCTGCTGTTCGAGGCAGTCTTCATGTATGTCTTCTATCTACTCTACCCGGCTATGCCATGGTGCGACTGGTCAAGTGTGAGGCCTACTCCTGCCCCAACACAGTGGACTGCTTTGTGTCCCGCCCCACCGAGAAAACCGTCTTCACTGTCTTTATGCTCGCCGCCTCCGGCATCTGCATTATCCTCAACGTGGCAGAGGTGGTGTACCTCATCATCCGGGCCTGTGCCCGCCGTGCTCAGCGCCGCTCCAATCCGCCCTCCCGCAAGGGCTCAGGCTTCGGCCACCGCCTCTCACCTGAATACAAGCAGAATGAGATCAACAAGCTGCTGAGCGAGCAGGATGGCTCTCTGAAAGACATACTGCGCCGCAGCCCTGGCAGCGGGGCCGGGCTGGCTGAGAAGGGCGACCGATGCTCAGCCTGCTGATGCCCATGTACCAGGCAACCTCCCATCCCACCCCTTCCTCACCCGGCCCTGGCCTGCCCCTCCTTTTCCTATGCCGGTGAGCAGGCCTCTGCCTGCTAGGGATTACTCTATCAAAACCTTCCTTCTCTCCCTACTCCCTTCCTCGGAGAGCCTTCTGTCTAAGAACTAGCCTGCTGGGGAGTGGAGAGCCACCTCTGCAGCAGGGCTCAAGGTTACTGAGGGTGTGGGTAGCTCTTTCTGCCTGGACCCCTTCCTCTTCCCTCTCCCTCTCCCTGAGGAGATGAGATGCTCTGTCGGTGTTTCCAATTATGAAGCTAATCTTAACCCCCATGCTGTCAGGTACCCCACTTCGGGAGTCACATCAGTGGGGAGGGACGTGGGCAAGCGGAATGGAGGAGGGGCTCTGCATCGTGGGTGGAGAAGGGAGGGGAACGAGCACAGGAAAAGGAAGAACGGTGCTTGCCTTGTTGTCTGCGGTGGGCGGGCCAGGAGAAGAAGACCATGTGAGGGAGTTAGAGAGGGAGAAGCAGGCAGATAAACTGGAGGGAGATTGTTCAGGGCTACCCCCAGGCCCCAGTTCCCAAGGCCTCTCTCTCTCTCTCTGGGCAAATGTTACACATTAAACAGGATTTTACAGTAAATGAAGAGGTGCTTTGAGTGTTTGTTGAAGTTCTTTCTCCTGCACCCTCCTTTCTGACCTCCCCCTGGATAAGCAGGCCTTGGTTGGCATTTTGCTGATCAAGAAAAGAAAAGGGCAGAAGGAAGAGTGCCTTCCCTTGAAGCTGCAAGTAGGAGCCTGGCAAAGCCACCCATGGAGCCGTCTTGTTCTTATTCTTTTTTTTTTGTTTGTTTGTTTTTTTTGTTTTTTTTTAAAGATTTATTTATTTATTTATTATGTATGCAGTGGTCTGCCTGCATGTATGCCTGCAGACAGAAGTTGGCACCAGATCTTATTACCGGTGGTTGTGAGCCACATACGTTGCTGGGAATTGAACTCAGGACCTCTGGAAGAGCAGTCAATGCTCTTAACCACTGAGCCATCTCTCCAGCTTGTTCTTATTCTTATTCTGGCTTGTTTGTTTACTTATTTCTTTTCTTTTTCATTGTTTATAGCCTACTGGTATCTAATTCACATGCCTCCTTTCTTTTGTTTTAAGAATAAATGACAGCCTCTTCTAGAGAGACAAGAAATAAATGCTACAGAACCATCGAGACAGAGAGAGAGAGAGAGAGAGAGAGAGAGAGGATGAGAGAGAGAGAGGATGAGAGAAAGAGAGAGAGAGAGAGAGAGAGAGAAAGAGGATGAGAGTGTGGTATACTTTTCTTGGCTACCTCAGATAGCTAGGCCCTTCTGCTACACTTCTGAGACAGCCATCCCCTTCCTCCCTGGACATTCACCCTCTGGTGCCCTGCAAGCCCCTGACCTCTCTTTCCTCTGGATATGGCCTCTAATTCCATCTGTCTCTCCAGTGTCCCTCCCTTTTTCCTCTCTGAATCCATGCCCCCCAGGACTCCATCAGAGGTCAGGCATGTCCAACAGAAGTTTCCTTGCCAGGACCCTCCTCCCCCTGTCAACTACTGGAGGAAAAGCTCCAGGCTTGGAACTTGACAAAGCAGAGTTCAAATCCTAGCTGTGTCTCTATTTGCAAGGTGTGTCCTTTCCCAAGCCTGTCTCCCTGTGTGCACACAAGGGCTGGCCCACACCTCTCATCCTCCCTCCCATATTTGTCTGTTTCTTAAGGACCCCTCCCCAGCCTCACAGGGCTTTCCCCCACTGCCACTGCCCACACAAAGGGTGCCTCAGGGTCCAAGCCCTCCCCCACAGCAAGTTTTCCTCCTCAGCTTTCCCATCTCTGAGCTGGACAGAGCATTGGCCACTTCCTCTCAGAGTAACATGGAGGAAACAACACCAGAAATGAAGAAAATCAGGTGTGACCTCATCAGAATTGTTTTCCCTCTGTCAGTCAATTTTTCCTTTCTAAGAGAAAGCATAAAATACAAAACCAGGAAACAAGCAGGGTACTTGTCTGTAATCCCATCGCTCAGGAAGTGGAAGCAGGAAGATTGAGGCAAATCAGAGGCCAACCTGAGGTATGTAGTGCCAAGTCAGCTTGGGCTATGGTGTAAGACCCTACCCCAGGAACAACAGCAAAACCACTCCCATCCTATACGAAGTCTCCTTTCTCCTTAGAAACTAACATCACACTCTGTCAGTGGAGAGGTCCTTATGTGCCTGACACGAGGCCTGCAAAATTCCTCTTCCCATAGAAATCCATCCCCTTTTCCCACGATGCAACAAGCGTAGACCATCTCCTCTTTGTGCAAAAGGTCCTCAAGAGAAAGATTTTCTTTTACAAAATTCCACCCTGGGGGCGGGGATGTAGCTCAGTTAGTAGAGTGGGTTTCTAATATGCTTGCCTTGGTTCTGTCCCCAACACAATTAATTAATCCTAGTCCCTGCGGGACCCTCACACCTGTGTCCGAGCAAGAAAGGATAAACTGCTCATCATGTCGGAAATCTACTGTTCCAATCCCAAACCCTGTGTGGTGGCGCACGCCTTTAATCCCAGCACTTGGGAGGCAGAGGACAAAGACAAGTGGATCTTTGTGAGTTTCAAGCCAATCTAGTCTGTATAAAGAGTTTCAGGACAGCCAGGGCTGGCTAGAGAGCTCCTGTTAAAAAAAAAAAAACGAAGGAAAAGAAGATTCCATTTCCAGATGGAGGCTACCTCTGTGGGGCAAAGGTGGGAAAACAAATATCAGGCATTAGGAACCAGAGAGAGGTTAGGACACGGGATTCTTGTGTCCTGTTAACCAGGTGGAAACAGGCTGAAGGAAGAATCTTGAAAGGAGCTCCAAGAGGCAAGTCTCAAAAACGTAGTGGGAGAGGCTGCCCCGGGACTGATGGTTTCATTTGAGGGAAACACACTGAGGGCTTAGTACGTATAGTTCATGATGTTCTGAGTGGGCTGGATAACGAAGAGGGTGCTGGAGTTAGGAGACTGGGCTTTCCACTGGTGTGCTTGACCCCTTCGCCACTTGTAGGTCTCAGTATTTATAGCTGCAGTATAGAGTACATAATAACTACTGTCTTTCACAGGGTTGTTTTGTTTTTTCGAGACAGGGTTTCTCTTTGTAGCAGCCCTGGCTGTCCTGGAAACTCGCTCTGTAGACCAGGCTGGACTCGAACTCACAGAGAGCCGCCTGTCTTTGCCTCCCAAGTACTAGGATTAAAGGTGTGCACAACAACCACAACCAGCTAGGCTTTGATTTTTATTTATTTATTTTTTTGAGAATCAAACAAGTTGTGTTCAAAAACTGATTATAAAAATAAAGATAATGAGAGATGACTCAGCAGTTAAAAGTACTGGCTGCTCTTCCAGAGGACTCAGGGTCAATTCCCCGCACCCACATGGCACCCCCTCTGTCTGGAACTCTAGTTCCAGGGGATCTAACACCCTCATACAGACTTACTTGCAGGCAAAACCTCAATGCTCATAAAATAAAAATAAAAATAGATAATTTAAAAGAAATCTTTAAAAATTATCAAGGTAATGAGTTAGGAGTGGTGGCATACCTGCAATCTCAGCACTTAGAAGGTGGGGGCAGAAGTTCAGGTCCAGCCTTGGCTAAATAGGGAGTTTGAGGCCAGTCTGGGCTGTATGAGACCCTGTCAAAAAATCAATAAGAACGTTAAAAGAAATCAAGTTATAAATGTAAAATAGTTTCAAAGGCACCTAGAAAGTGTGTATTAGAACTCCACAGGAGCCAGAAAGGAGGAAATCCAGTTCAGCCAGGCTGAAGTTTATGCAAAGAATTTGACTCTGTAGCTGGGATTAAAGCACACCTTTAATGCCAGCACTCGGGAGGCAGAGGCAGACAGATCTCTCTGTGAGTTCCAGGCCAGCCTGGTCTACAGAGTGAGTTCCAGGACAGCCAAGGTTACAAAGAGACGCTGTCAAAGGAGGAAGAGGAAGACAAAGAAAAAATTTGGTGGTATAAATCCAGATTTGACACACATCTATAAACCCAGCACTCTGGAGGCTGAGGAAGGAGTGAGACGTCAAGACTGGGCTACTTATCAAGGACCCTGTCTGAAACCAAAAACAAAATCTTGGCAAAAATAAGGGTTCTCCAGGGAGCAGGCAGCAGTTCAAACAACCAAGTCCAGAGATGTTGCAAACTTGGTCATGACCCATCGAAGGATCAATATTGAAGGTCTCTCTCTTGAGGACAGGAAAGGTCAAGGAGCAGATCTTTTGGCATACTCGCTATCTGCTGTTTGTGGGGTGGCAGGAATCTATGGCCTTTCAGAGGTGTTTGTGTGCAGATGCCAGAAGCTGCAGGGAAAGACGGAGTCGGTTCCTGGATGGAAGCAAGCTGAACTACGGACAGTAGTCAAAGCAGCAGCTAATGAGTCGAGATTACAGAGCAAGACGCAGTATCCATAGAGAATTGGCATGGCAACCACAAACTGGCTCAGATGCTCAATCAGATAGCCTGGGTGCACAGAGTGGAGGCTGGAGGGGGATGGTCACTTCATTTCCAGATTCCATAATGTTTAAATGCTGGATCTGACCTGTAGTATACTGGGGCTAGACAATTCTACTGACCTGAGCTCGCTTTGATTGCCAGACTAGGCCAGGCTGAACCTAAAAGGGCAAGCAAAGAAAGGATCGGGGCATTGAAGTGAGGGAGAATAAAGCAGGCGGCAGACATCTGAAAGGCGTGCTGTCTTCAGAGTCAGATAAATAATCTGTCATGGAGGATCTAAGAAATGGAATGGCTACCGCAGAGGGAAAGACAAACTGTAGCCAGAGTGTGGCCGGCCTTGTGTGTCTCTCTAAATGGTTAAGAATATCTTTTAGAGAGGTTGGCACGGTGGTACACCCCTTTAATCCCAGCACTGGAGAGGTAGAAGCATGAGGTCTCTGTGAGTTCAAGACCAGCCTGGTCTACTAGTGAGTTCCAGGAAAGGCAAGACTATGTGGACAGACCTTGTCTCAAAACAAAAACAAAACAACAACAACGACA